GCCGCCACCGCAGTTTGTCCTTCATGAGCCTTCGTAGACAAGATGGTGGCTGCCTGTGTGGCGACCCGCGACCATGGAGATATAAACAGCTTTTTATAAGGTAAAAATGATAAAACACGGTCTTTGTCTGCAATGATTAGACATGTTTTCATTATTGTCATCAGTGATTATCTCAATTTAGGCTAAAAGAATTGACAAAATCCTACACACTGTGCCTTTAAAACACAAAGAAGCATTTTAAAATAACTGGCACTATTTCATCTGGATAACACCATGCTGCATGGTGTTTAAAACAAACACGTCATCATTTCTCTGCAGGTCTGCTGCTTTAAAATGACCAAAGGAAGCGCTTTAATGAGAAAATCTCATGTATTCATAAGGCATCAAAGCTTTGCTGCACAAGTCTGACAGCAGGTGAACAAGGTGAGGTTTCCTGATTCATGAGGAGAAGTGTTTAAAACAAGTGAAAATACCAGTTTGGTCATGTGAAGTTAACTTTCTGTGACCTACTTCAAGGGACAATATCACGTAAAACCAACAGTTTTCAGTTTTATATCATGTTATAATGTTATACTCCCATAAAAACATGTCCAAAGCCTTGCTCTGACTCATTCATCATGTTTGAGAAATCCTGCAGTGTTTTTATGAAGCCATGCTGAGGAGCAAAACGACAGGTGGAGACCAGAAACACCTTTTGGTACCAGAAACACCTTTTGGTACCAGAAACACCTCTGGGACGTGTCTTTAAGCTGAACTTCCTCCTTGCTGAGTATTTTTGTATCTTATTCAAGTCGAGACCTTTTTGTCATTTTACGTTTTTGAAGATTCATGACTTATGTTTGAGTTTGTTAAAGAGTGATCACTTTGTTTTTTGTCAATAAAATAATTCTATGTTTTGGAGCTCCTGACCTTTGCCTTTTTAGTCGCACACCCCAGGCACAGAGTCGTGACAGGAAGGAGGTTCTTAAAGAGACAGAGACCAATTTTAAGGCGTTTAGAAGAGGAAGTGATGAGAAGATAAGTTTATTTTCTATTTAAACATAAAAACAACATTTTAATAACAACTAAAGGTAACATAGATACTTTATTATGGTATAGAATTTAAATATATGCCTGAGAAACACATAATATTGGCCCTTTAAACTCTGAGTGAGGTTTCTGTATCAGTCTGAGTTTTAGAGCTGCTTTTTCTCACTGGTTTCACCCATAACCCAAGACTCCTTTAATTGTTTTTCATATATTTTTTGTCTACAGGCTGTGAGGTACCCAAACTAAAAAATGAGAACATTATTTTTGATTAAGATACATGTTTTAATGTATAATTTGAATAATTTCAAAGCTGCGTCATGAGAAACAGGACAATAAAAGCGTTGCTTCAGTGGTTTTGCAACAGGCTGAATGAACTGATCTTAACTTTATTCTTTATACTTTTATTTAAAGGGGACCTATTATGCAAAATTCACTTTTTAAAGTTTTTTTTTTTACTCAACTTTGGGTATGTACTTTTAAAAAAACAGTCCTAGGAACAAAAAATGCACCCAGGGGCATATTTACTGTAAGTAAATGTATTTTTAATGTGTATTAACGACAAGTTTTATACTTCAGTCATTTTGTGATGTCACAAGCCGTACAACAACCCACCAGAACCTGCGTTCAGCCCCTTACCTAACAACCCCCAGGTGAGGCTCCTCCTCCTCAGTATAAAAAGTCGTCACAGTGTTGTTGTGTAATGTGTAGCTCTGTTCACAACAAGCCTCCAACAGGGCAATGGGTGGAGTGTTGGACCAGAGAGTGGGAGACCAGGGTTTGAGACCAGCATGGACACTATTTAATTATTTATTTTAGTTCATTATGAACACGTTTTCTCATGTAGCTCTATTGTTTATCTTATTAAAGCCTTGTTAAAGCCTATTTGTTCTAGTTTCTGAGGTATTTTGACCGCTGCTGCTCCCTGCTCTGGTAACAGCATGCAGAGTGAGCACAGAGCAGAGGAGGGAAAGAAAAAAAAGAAGCTGCGACCACGACTCTGCCTCTGGGTCTCATATGGTTGTACAACGGAGCTTCTGCTATTATTAGCCATGCTAACGTAAACGCTGGCTTTGGAGGGCGGAGTTAATGTCAACAGATTTTTGGAGGGCGGAGTTAATGTCAACAGATTTTTGGAGGGCGTTACCAACAGAGCTCATTAACATAAACAGCTCTTCTGAACAGAAGTCAGAGCAGCAGAACTAGAAAATGGGAAATTTTATTATCTGAGAATTATTTTGAGCATTAAATTGAATGAACATGGTCTGGATAGCCCACAGACATACCATAAACATTTCTACGACCCATAATTGGTCTTCTTTAAGGGAACCATGTATTTGGATCAAGTGAACTTGAATTAGGTTTGGACAGTGATTATTATATATTCAGTTTAGTGAAAATGTAAAAATTTGAAGTAGTAACACACGAGTCCCCTCAGCAGCTGGTCCACACCCCTAACAAAGCGGTTTACTTGGTGTGTGTGTTACTGATGCTCAGCATCTGTTTCAGTCATTCTAGTTTATGTTGAAGAGATGAGAAGTGGGAGTTAAGGTGGAGGAAAGGTGTCCCTCCTCCACACTGAATCATTGGACCTGTGGAAATGAAGAGATGCTCCCTGACCAGCAGAGTTACCTGCAGGACGTGTCTGTATGAGGGTCAAATACTAAAAAACTCTTTTTGCTTAAAATGCCCATTTTACATCCTCTCAGTTTGTTTTACATTTTTAATGAAGTTACAATAAGATGTTTGCATGTTAATGATTTGAAGTAAAGCTGAGTTTAAGAGGTTTGTCTGTTCCTGGGGGCTTTAAGCTGTGCTTTTAGCAGCTCTTACTGTATTTAACTCAACACTGAACAGATTGCTTGTATTTGAGTTGCATGTTAAAAAGATAAATGACACAAAGAACTGAACACTGTTAATAACGAGTGAGAAGCTGCTCCCTGTGAATCACACAGCTGATGGACCCTCAGGTCCACCTTGAAGCAGTCGGGACCCCCCGACCCGTCACACCCCCAGTTTGTTGGCCTGTGTCAGCAGCACCTTGAGGACGGGCATGAAGGCCGAGGTCTCACTGAAGTTGCTGCTGCTGACGATGTGAGTGTGGATGTTCAGACCCTCTGTGTAGGTCCGACACACGATGGCCCTGGCCATGTTGTGAAGTCCTCCTATGATGGCGGGGGACAGCTGCAGACAGGAACAGTTATGTTGGTGTGAATGTTGTAATAACTACACAAATAAACCAGGCCTCCAAAACACAACAGCCTTAAACTAATCCAAAAAACGTAAAATATGAGAAGTGTGCACCACCAGATCCACAGCCGTGGGAACTGATTAAAGTCAACAAGAACTTTACAATATAAAACAAAAAACTACCTTTATTCAACCTAAACAAGGCTCTGTGTAACTGCACCAGCACCATGTAGGAGGACACAACCACACTTAGACCCCTCCCTCAGATTATAGACCAGCGATATATTAATTACAAAATATACATCTGAACCTGAAAGGAATGCTAACATAACCTCAGTGAACTGTAACAGTCACTAGAAACAAGTAAGTAAAGTTTATTTATATAGCGCCTTTCACAGAAAAGGATTTCACAAGGTGCTGTTCACTCATTATCAGAAAGAAAAAGAAAAAAATAACATTAACTGTACAAATTAGACATTCAATACATTCAATATTTAAAACAAAAACAAAAGGAGTTCAGTTTATCTCTCATCCTTACAGGTGGAGGGGATGGATACCAGACCAGAATAACACACATGATTGTTAGTCAGGGCTTGTAAACTCAAGTTGTGAGGTGTTGAATATATCCAGTGTAATGTTTGAGTGAAGAGGTGTGTTTTTAGTTGTTTTTTAAAGGAGTCGGTGTTTTCAACAGATCTTATAGGGCAGAAGGGCGTTCCACAGTCTGGGAGCCGTTGAGGAAAAGGCACAGTCACCAGGGGTCTTGAAGCGAGTACGGGGGACCAAGAGAAGATTCTGGTCTTGTGAGCGCAGGTTGTGTTTGGGGTTATAAGGCGAGAGAAGACCAGAGATGTAGTTCAGCTCTTGGCCGTGTAGAGCTCTAAAAGTGAGAATCAGGACTCTGAACCTGAGTCTGAATTGTACAGGTAGCCAGTGGAGGTCTGATGATACAGGGGTGATGTGAGAGGATTTAGATGTTCTAGTTAGAAGTCTAGCAGCAGAGTTTTGAACAAGTTGGAGCTGGTTTAATTATTTCTGATTTAGGCAGGTGAACAGACTGTTAACGTAAAGCCAGGTTGAGATAAAGGCATGGATTACCATTTCCAGGTCAGAGGCAGGCAGGAGGCGGTGAAGTTTAGAAATGTTACGGAGTTGAAAACAGCATGAGGTAACTAGATTTGTGACGTGTTTATTTAGTGACAGGTCTGAATCAAAGCTGACTCCAGATTTCATATGTTCTTTTTAACAGTCGACCCGAGAGCCCAGTTGTTCTTTTATCTGAAGGATCTTATTTTCAGGTGCCAGGATCAGAGTTTCTGTCTTGTCACAGTTAAGGAGTAGCAGGTTGTCAGAGAGCCATTTGTTGACTTCTGTGATACAGTCTAAGAAAGAGATCAGCTTGTGGGGACTTGACTTGTTAAAAGAGCAGTATAACTGCAGGTCATCAGTGTAGAAGTGATAGGAAACATCATGAAAACTGCCTTAGTGGGCGGATGTAGAGAAGGAAAAGGAGGGGCCCCAGGATTGAACCCTGTGGAACGCCACAAGTGAGTTGGGCTGGTTCAGAATAAGTTTGATTTTGAAGTACTGAGAAAGAGCAGTTGGAGAGGTATGAATTAAACCAGTTTAATACAGAACCCGATATCCCAATGTTCCTCAGGTTGTGTAGTAGAATGTATGATCAACAGTATCAAAGGCAGAGGAAAGGTCTACTAATAATCCTAAAGAATTCTTGCCTCATTAAAGAATACAATTTAAGCTGTTATTTGTTTTTGAAGCCTTGCATGGCCTTGCACCACCCTACATTTCTGAACTTTTGAAAATCCACCAGCCCAGTAGAACTTTACGGTCTGCTGGAGGTGCCTCGCTCTAAGAGCAAGAAAAGGAACCGGTTCTTTTCTGTGGCTGGTCCAACAGCGTGGAATAGTCTTCCCTCTGAGCTGCGTGCCGTCTCTGACCTGGTTCTGTTCAAAGCCCAACTTAAGACCTATTTATTCAAAAGGGCATTGATGTTTAATTTTTAGCATCTTATAAATATTTTTTACTTTCTTTTATTGTAATTTGTGTTTTTAACTTGTACGGATTTGTTATGGCTTGTTTTTATTTGTTTTACCTTGTGAAGCACTTTGGTCGATGCAAGTCATTGTTGGAAGATGTTAAGTAAATAATAATTATTATTATT